GTAATGAAATAAAATTAACCACATTGTCCCTATACACTAAATTAGTTTTATAAAGGTCTTTATTAAGAAAATAATAAATATCAAATAAATTATTTGATGTTAAAGTACGATTACGAAGATGATTAAAAAAAGTAAATGAGGTAGATTTAACAAATATATCATATTCAATTAATAATTTTAATGGTTTATGTTTTTGATGTAATTTATCTAACTCGCTTAAGTTAAAAATATATGATATGCCGTTTTTGATAATATTTTTCATAATGATATTATCAATTTCAAAATACTGTGAATTCTTTAATTTGTAAGACTTATACACTGGTTTAAATTTACTAATATAATTTTTAATAATATTATTATTTTTTATTTTTAATAATCTAACATCACCTAAATTATAAGATAATACAAGGTTTTTAATGTCTAATGGTAAATCATAAAATATCATAATATATTTCAATCTTTATTTTATTTTAAATGCTTTTTCAAATCTAACATAAAACATATTATTAACATCTTTGGAATTCATATTAACATAAAAGAAGGAGTATGGTTTATCATCTACCGCTTTATGATACATATTTAACAGTTGCTCTTTATCAACAATGGCGGAGTTTTCCTCAATGAATGACATTAACTCTGATACATTCTTTAACTTAAAGATATACAACGAACTAGAATTCAACCTAATGATTGGAGCAAGGACACGATATTTTTGAACACTTAAGCAAAAACTAATGGCGTCGTGTCTGCCTCTCGTTGCCAGTCCATGTAATAACTTGCTGTATCTAACAAATTTAGGGTCGTCTGCAAAATCATCAACTATGATTAAAATTGAATGTAGTTTCTTCATCTTCTGTTCTTTCATATAATGAATTATCTTTCTTTGTGTGTTAATTATTTCTTCCAGTTCTTCAGGTTGGTAGGTGTCATAATATAACTTTTCTTTTTCGTCATCAACCTTCATATTATCTTTTTGATATTTCTTGACTTCAACGAAGGTAGGGTCATTATGAACCGACGGGCTAAAAATGAATATACGGGCGAAGCAGTCCCTATAAACATTTAGGATAAGGTTTTGAATTAAAACTGTTTTGCCACCCGTTGATGAAGCAACAACAATTGAGCGAAAAGGTAGTTTTGGTACATGTTCATATTTAGATTGTTTGAAATCGTAATCAGTTATATTTATTGGTTTTATTATTGGAACATCAGACATAATAAAATAATATTAAAGTTATTTAGAAAATATTTTATATTTATTATTTTATATGAATAGAAGTTATTCGGATTATATTGATATAATAGATAAAGTAGAAAATATAGAACAAGTAATAATAACCGATAATAAAATTAAGAAATGTTGTTATTATTCATTAGAATTAATTAAGTTAGGAATACAATATATTAAAAATATAAATATTAATATAGATGGGAAGGAAAAAAAGCAAAAATAATAAAACAGGTTTAAGTGTTTCTTCAACCAATGAAGAAAAAGAAGAAATTGTTAAAGAAACATCAGTTATTGAGTTTGCTTGTCCAATGTGTAAAAAGATGTTAGAAATGAAAAATGAATTAGAAATACAAAAGAAAGGACATTGTAAATGTTCGTGTATTCCGTCAAGTTTCAAAATAAGTAGAAATGATAAGAAAATGAATATTGATAAAACTAAAGACAGTATAAACTTAGAAACAGATGTTCATAATATAACTTTTAAATGGGGTCGGCAAGCATCACCATCCGATAGTGGCGATAAGGAAACTCAGGAAACTGTTAAACAAATGATGAAAAAATAGTATTTAAAGAGTAGATTTAACATAATTGCAACATTTAGTTTTAAAAGTTTAGTTTTATAATTTAGTATATATGGAGGAACATTTAGCGAACATTGACAGTAGTTTAGAGTTGTTGTTTCCAAGATTAGAAAAAGTGTTGGAGCAAAATGAAAACATACTGAAAATCTTAAAGAGCTTGAATATTAAACCTACATATGATAACAATAACAATTATCAAGCAAAAGAAGTAGATAGAGACAGTAGCGAATACAAAAATAAACGAAACATTTATGTTAAAAAACTGAATGAAAAAATCATAAAAGAACCTAAACAATCAAGTCTGGATTACTATCAAGTCAAGTATAAAGAAGACACCAAGAAATACGTTTAATCATTAACTAACAAAATTTCGTGTCTCAAAAGCGGTTTGTTTATTTCTGCTACTTTGTAAGTTTTATTACCCATAATATCATATTCAATTTTATCGATATTGAATATTTTATTAGACCATTTAGAGTTATACTCCTTTCTGTCGGTGTAATTACCCCTTTTCTTTTGAAACACTTTTACCTTGTCGTTCTCCACTATTCTGGGATACTTTCTTTTGTTTTTTTCTCGTAGTTTAAGATTGACCTTTACATTTATTTCATTCTCGTCCTTGTGTGCTTCAGACGGTGTCATCCTTGTTGATGAGTGAGATGTGCTGTTATACTGTTTCAATGCCGGCGTTAGGGCGTCGGTCCATTTCATGTTGTTAAACCTAACTCTATCGTGAATTTTGTTTTTCATCGTTCTAATAAAACGCTCGGCCACATTTGCGTGGGTCTTCGTAACGATGTGGTTTATTCCTTCACTGTTGAAGAAATCCTGAACGTGATTTTTAGTTGCAAACGCTCCGTCGTCATCAGAATACACGGACATCGGATAACCCATCTTTTTAAAGCTTGCTCTCAACGCCTTCAAAACGTTCTCTCCGTCTCTTTCCTCCATCGGTATTACATCTGCTAATTTACTGAAGATGTCAATCACGACTAAAGCATACTGTGGAACGTTCTTGTCTTTTGCTAAAGGAGACATATGCATTATGTCTATTTGATATTCATATCGTGCGAATGGAGCGGTATAGGAATTAGTTCCTCTATAATTTTTGATTTGTTTATTTGGCTGTTTCTTTAAGAAAGACTTTACATCGTCTAATGTTATTGTTGGGTCTTCTTCCTTTGCCTTCTTGTGTGTCGCTTGTGTGCTTCCGAAACCCTCGTCTAAGTCGTAATAGATGTTGCTGATTATTTGGTCTTTTGTTAATCTCGCCATTATATTAAATTGTTAGAAAATATTTTTTCAATAAAAACCCCGCCCCTTAACATAAAATAAAAAACTACTTAAAGAAATATTAACTTATTATATTAAGTGAAAATATGACTGAAAATGTCGGAGTGATTGCTGACTTATCAAACTGGGTGCTATCAGACGAAGAAGATGATGATAATGACAGTTATAAAAAGGAATTAGATGACGAGTTAAACAAAATAAAGGATTTCGTCAAAAGACACCCTTTGCCATCAGTTGATGAAAACGAAGAATTCTGGAAAGATGTTATTAACAGGTTTAGGGATAATAGCGGATTAAACTTGATGACAATATACTCATTTGTTAGGTTTGACATCATGAAAGAAATGTATGAAAACCTAACAGATGAAAACATCATAAAAGACTGTGGTAAAAAGTTAAACCGAGATGGGCAGTTTAATGCTATGATTATTAATCACTATATCTTATCGGGAGCGATACGGAAACTAAACACAGAAGACAGTCTAGTAGATGGACAGATGCGAATTATTGAATTCTGGTGGGATGGAATAGGTGGATGGAAAGCGTGAGTGATTTAGTTTAATGATATTATTCAATTATAATATGATTAAACCTAGTTTTTATAATCTAACAATGAGGTTAAGACATTTAAATTAAACCTGAAACCCAGACCAGCCGACCAGCAACCCCTAGCCAAAACTACTTAAAGAGAAAAAGCCTTATATATTAAGAGAAAAATGAGTAAGGGTAAAATGTCAGAGAATAATTTTATGGATGAGAATTGCGCTAGCTTACCTGAAGGCTTAGTTTCAATCATCACTACTTACATTAATGGTAGTGAAGGGTGGCGAAGACTGAAACAATGTGATGCTTTAAGAGAATTACAAAGGAAATGGAAACCGTCTATTTACACTGAACGAGTAGGAGAAAGTAGATATTATGTTGAGATTCGCAATAAATGCTTAAAAGGTGATAAAGCGCTTTCATATGCGTTGAAACCACCAAAAGAATTATTAAGAATGATGAAGTATGATGAAGAAATACAGGTTGGAATAGTAGTTAGTTCAAAAATTATGTATAATAATAATATTTGCAACAGTCGTTCTTATTCATCATCTAAACAGAATAAGATTTCAAGTAGAGCGTCATTACAATACCATATTGAACAAGCAGTTGAAGAAACCAAACAGACTATGAAACGACACGAAATCATTACTATCGAACATGTTGCAATTGAAATTTATAGAAAACAGAAACAATGATTTCATGGCTTAATCATAATATTTAATTATAATATGATTAAACAGTGTAAACTTTTATAACCTTTCATTATACTGTAATTTCAACCTATAAAACATAACTAGACAATCGCATAAAAATCACATAAAAAGAAGTTGTTAAGATATATTAAGAAATGGTTGTGAAGCAAACTATAATGAATAATTATGGAATGACAGAAGAAAAAGCAACAGAAGACTATGGTGAATTCTTCAAATGCAACAGATGTCTTTATGATAAAACAATTGATGAATTTGGAAATGTAAAAAGTGGAAGAAGATATAAATATTGTCAAGAGTGTAGAACGAAAATAAATAATTGTAGAGATAAACGTCAAAGAAACAAACGACCCACCAACACCCCAGAACTTGATAACTACTAAAAGGGCTACCTCTTTCAAATGAAAAAAATGTTTGCCCCCAGCCCAACAATGAACAAGGCGACAATTTACCCAAATGATTACCTTAACGAAAACGATAAATAAGCTCCCTAAAAACCCTCTTTTAAAAACGAATAAGGGGGAACATAGATTTGAGATGAACATAAAAACCATAACAGGCAACCCTCAACAGACTTCCCCCCAGGCCCCCTACTTCTTCTATTTTTTCCCCCTCCCCCCCGCGGCTCGAATCGCGCGCCTCCAAGGTAAAAACGTGGCGGCGCCAACGGGAGCCCACCGCGCACGCGCTGCGGGGAGTAAAGCTGCTCTTACTGTCCACTTCCACCTGCAACGAGTTCTCGGCTTCTGTTCTTTTCCTTGGGGTTTTGCTTTGTAATGGGTTGAGATTTAACTCAGTCTTTCTTCTGGATTCTGTGTTGCTTTCATTCCCGGTGCCAACGCACTCGCCTTTGCGCCAGCATCAACATTCCCGGCATCGGTTTAACATCCCCGGCAACAACAGCCTCATCATCACCAGTTGGCTTTGGTTTGGCTGGATATGGGGTGGGTTCAAGGTTGGTTTAGGGTTGGTTCTGAGTGGCTGCGAGGCTTGTTTAGGGAAAGTTTGGGGGCAGTTTAGGGTTGGTTTAGACGAGGGGGTCTTTGGGTTTGCTGGTGGGTGTAGGCTTGGTTGGTTTGGCTGCGCTTTAGGCACTGGGATGGTTTAGCGCTGGTGAACGAATTGGCGACGCCGTGGCTTGCCTTTCTCGGAGAACTTGAAGCAGTGGCTTTGTCTCAATAGAAAGCATCGACACATGTCGAGCCGTTCGGCAAGGTTGAGCCACAAATAGGTGTTGCTCTTGTTCACGTGTCGTGGCTTTTGCAGCTCTCGAATTGGTGACATACGGAGTTCCCAATTCGGAGACAAATGACGATATTCCCGTCAATATGGCCAATGGGGTTCTTTCTGCCTAGACCCGATTGTTCCACATGAGTTGCTAGAATAACTGTTTGGAAACCTGAAGTCCGTAGAAGGAGACACGCTTGCGACATCCTGACCAAACATTGGGCTTGTTCATAGCAAAGGGAACCCTCCGGCGTTACTTTGACACCACCAGTAAGGCATTGTTTGACCTTGTTTGGCCCTTACCCGGGGTTGGTAGAGTCTCTAACTTAGGTTTCCCTTTGAAATCCAACTACTCGAAAAAGGGCCCGTCCATTTCGGTCCGTCGCCGCCGCCCTATCTGAAAAGCGTCAGACCGTTCACAAGGGGGGTCTCCAAAAAGGCTGGGGACGGAAGAAACACCTTGTTTGCAGAGTCTCGGATTTCCCACTGGGGGCACACCCCCTTGCACTCTGACTGGCTCTCCTTCAATCTGTGCCCACTAAACAAAGAAAGCCAACAGAGCTACTCCAAAAGCAAGCTGCTTCAAGCAAAGGTCTTCTGAACAACTTCACAAACAAAATCCAGGGGGGCGCTTTGAACGCCTTCAAAATCCAGTGGGCGGCCGTTTTGGGACGAACCAAATCTCCTCCGCCTCGTAGAAGGGATTCACCCGAGCGCGGTAGAATTCCCTTAGCGACCCGGCGGGCAGCTCCATCTGCTGCCTCAGCCACTCGCCGTGGCTCACCTGACCAAAAAACGGGCCGGCACCCAAGAAATTCGTGGCTCTAGGAGTACTTTCCCCATTCTTTCCAGTGATCCTTTCTAGAAAACCTCCAGAAACCCAGGGGAAACGGCCGGCTGTTGGAAAGAACGATGGTTGAAAAGAATGGGGAATCAAGCCCTAGAGTGGCTCCCCGTTCGGGAACCCCCGAAACAAACGCGATGACACGCATATTGTGTGTTGAACAAAAACGAAGTTGGAACCGCTTAAAAAGTGACTCCCTGCGAGGCCCTGCGGTTGATGGGAACACTGGGTTGATAAGCCTCCAATTCAGAGCGGATCATTCACCTTTGGGTTGGCCGGGTCCGATTTCTGCTCTATGCCTCCATCGATTCTCTTCAAGGGACCCGATGAGTTCCATGCGGCCTCCCTCATGCGGCCTCACTCCCGTTTCATGACAAGTGGGCCCACGCCTTTCTACAACAAGTGGGAGTCCCAGACGTTAAGACTTGAAAGGGGATCCTGTTTGCATCAGAGAAAGTGGCAACTCAAACCGCGTGTTCCACAACCATACGAGTACGCTGTTTTTGAGGATACCTTTGTGGGGGTGTTTGCTTTCTAGTGGAACTTCAAAAGGAACTGAAGACGTTGTTGAGTGCTTTTTTATCCGACCCCAGCTGGCAAGTTACTGAAATCGAATGGAAGCCAACCCAGACCCCAGATTCGCCATGAAAATCGAGCCAACACCCCCAAAGGGCAACCACCCATGTTCCGGGCTCCCCAAGCTTCAAAACCCAGGTCAGCGGGCAGTTGAAGCAATGGCTTTCGGAGAGAACAAACATCCTATGGTTTTCCAGCGGGTGCCAAGCAGAAACTCCCTTCATGCCCCCCCCCTCCGGATCCCAGCTACATTTCCTTTTCAATTTTAGAGGGTGGTTCCCTTGGCTACCAAAGAAAACGGTACATCCAATACAGGGAGCGGCTCGGATTGTGTTTCCTGTGGCCCAACCCCGGCCTGCCCCAGCTGCTCCAAGCTCTTGCGCGTGGGCCCGAAGCTGGCACTCAGCAGGAACCGCGCGTCCCGTTCGCGGGTGCCTCGGCCGAGCACAAGGCGCGCCCCGCATTTTCCCACCTTTCGGCACCAGAGATTTGGGTTTATCTGAATGCCGGAACCCCAAAAATGGCTGGTTTTCTTCTGGTTTCTTTGAACGAGGTCATTTTGTGGGGCGCAAGAGAAACGGGGAGTTCACTGACAGCTTCGGGGAAACCCTTATCCAAGTCTGGATCACTGTGAAAGGATGTTGATTCCAGGACATTCGAAGGAACAGCTTTTGCTTCTGGATCCAATGAGCTTGCCTTTGACTTCAAAAAAAAAAGTCGGAGAGTCAACCGGAGGGTTTCGGTCTCTTAAATTTGTGCCAAGAGTCAGCACCGTGGAATCCGACTGGACCGTTTTTTAGAAGGGCCGGTTCCAAATGGCCAAGGAGCGGTTGTGGCTGTCTGGGAGGATGTAGCCCTCCTAGCCGCGAGCTCCGGCGGCATGACCCAAGGACCCGGATCGAAGTAGAACCCCTTGAGGTTGATCCAAAGGTCTCCCCTTTGAGTGGGGGTTCACGTTTGGAGGAAACACCTATTCATAGGATGGGTCTATTAATCCGGGGTCAGCTTGACGAGAGTCTAGCTTTGGGCAAGTAAAGGCAAAAAACCAAATGCCGCAACGGTTGCGGGAGGGGTCTTTGAGGGGTGGGTGGTGTCAATGTGGAGTCCCAGAATATCCGGGCATGCCTCGAATGCTTTTGCAAGAGGACACCCAGGGTCTGTAGATTTTTCCCGAGAGAGCAGTTGGCTAAAATGATGACAACCATGCAGACAAACCAACTCGTGTGCCAAAGGGTTATTGACCCTGTAAAAACGACCCACACATTCCAAGCATCGTATATATGTTTAAACAGGTGGCAACTTGGGTATAGGACTTTCTTGCTCTTGCAACGGGCTTGCGAGCACCCCAAAGTGAGAAATCGAGTAAATACCTGTTCGAGACAGAGCCAAGCACGAGTCTCTGGTCTCTCGCAAAGGTCGTTGAAGCTAAACCCCTCGCACCAAGTTGGGGATGTGTCAGAATTAACTTCGGATGCCTGCAACAACCATCTTCCGGCAACTTCTCAGAGCGGAAGTGCATACCATCCTGTACCGTTTATGTAAAGGGTATGTGCAAGCAGCCTTGGCAGCCAGCAAAGGAAGACAACCCAAACCTCTCACCAGTGGAATCCAATCTTCAACCAAGCCCACCGATCAGCTTTCCGATGGAAGCTGACCAATGGCTTTTAGGTTAATTTTGAAACGCCCATCCACCTCACAGCCAAAAACCTCTCGACTTGCTTGCCCCAAGAATCGTCCTCCCAAAAAGGTGATAGAAATTCAGGAACTCGATATCGGAAATTCTCAAACTGGTGCTTTGACTGATTGAAAAAGAGCGGTGCGCCGCTGACCCAACTGTTCCCGTCCTTCAACATCTCGGCCACATCCTCCTGTCCAGTTCGAGCAAAGCTTCGTCCGCTCCCGCCCTGTCTGGACAAAGCTCCAACTACGAAATGTGGAAGCCTAAATAACTAGAATGGGGTTGGCATTTTATTCACCAAATCAACATGAGGGTTCCCTATGAAACTACATTCATCCGGGGGGAGGCGACAAGCACCCTTCGCGTGGCGACAAATCTGCCCATATGCATACGCGTGACCAGAACAAGAGCAGTTGCGATATCTACAAGCATCGCTCGGAAACAGCACAAACATGCCGGGTACTGGTCGAACCGCACTTGCAGGGCAAACTGTAGGGGGATAGATCAATGCGTTTGGACTGGCAGTTTTGAGGTCAGAATCTTAGGGCGAACCACGAAAACTCCAAGTTAGCCAATATCCAAAACATGTTGGGGGGGAAGAAGCTGCAGAATTTCTGGGGCTGGTTTCTTAGAACTGACCGAACGTTACGCCAGATTTGTTGGTTCCCTTTGTTGGAAAAGGGTCATGTGTCGGATGGTCAAATTGCATCTTTTGAGGCCTGAATTGGCGACTCTCATCAGCCAGACGATTTGGGAGCGGAGGGCCCTGCTTTTCCCAAGTGCCCCTCCCTTGGCGACCTATCCCGGCTCTTTTGCGTGGGGCCCTCTTTCTTTATGTCCAGCTTTTCGGTCCAAAGACAAGATTGCTAAGACAAACCATGCCATACCAACCTCTGGCACAGTAGAAAAATAAACATTAACTGCTTTGAGGTTGCCCGCACTACAACTACACAGATCAAAACAAGTAATAAACACAAAACCTGTTCAACGCATATCAGGAGTAGTGAAGCCATGACACATATGAGTGGACGGGTTGCCAGCTTGCTTTGCCACCAGTTGCCAGTTGGCTCGCTCAAAATCCCAAGTGGGACTCACTGACCTCTCGCAAAGCTTTGCCGCTCCTCGGCATACAGCTTGGCGACGCGCTGCAGCATCTCCTCGCGAAATTGAAAACCCGATGGTTTCCACTAGAACTGGGTCCCGGTTCAATGCGTTCCGCTGCAATCGCCATGGACAAGGGCCTTGGAGCTAGGAACCCAACCCCGGGTTCAGTAAGCTCACTGGATATCAGTCTACTGAAAGACTCGTATGAGGGTCTAACATGGACAAGGACCCCCGTCTGTCTCTGTCTGTCTGTCTCTCTTTCTGTGTCTGTCTCTGTCTGCCTCCGTGTCTGTCTCTCTTTATGTCTCGCTGTCTGTGTCTGTCTCTGTCCGCCTCTCTGTCTGTCTCTCGTTATGTCTCGCTGTCTGTGTCTGTCTCTGTCTGCCTCTCTGTCTGTCTCTCTTTATGTCTCGCTGTCTGTGTCTGTCTCTGTCTGCCTCTCTGTCTGTCTCTCTTTATGTCTCGCTGTCTGTGTCTGTCTCTGTCTGCCTCTCTGTCTGTCTCTCTTTATGTCTCGCTGTCTGTGTCTGTCTCTGTCTGCCTCTCTGTCTGTCTCTCTTTATGTCTCGCTGTCTGTGTCTGTCTCTGTCTGCCTGTCTGTCTGTCTCTCTTTCTGTCTCGCTGTCTGTGTCTGTCTCTGTCTGCCTCTCTGTCTTGTGTGTGTTTGTGTGTGTGTGTGTGTCCGTCTCTTTGTCAGTCTCTCTGACTCTCTTTCTGTGTCTGTCTCTGTCTGCGTCTCTGTCTGTCTCTGTGTGCTTTGTCTGTCTTACTGCCTCTCCCTCTGTCTGTCTCTCCGTCTGTCACTGACTGTCTCTGTCTTTCTGTCTGTCTCTGCATGTCTCTCTCCCTCCTCCGCACCTCTCTATCTTTCCCGCGCTCTGTCTCTCTCTCTCTCTCTCTCTCTCTCAGTGTCTCTCTCCTCTGCCTCTCTCTCTCTCTCTCTTTCTCTCTGTCTGTCCGTCTGTCCGTCCGTCCAGCTGTCTGTCTGTCTGCCGTGGCTCTGTCGTTGCTTGAGGGTCTTCCTTTTTGGGTGATGTTTCTGGAACACCACCAGTAAGTGAATCAACCAATGACCACAGGGAACTCCTACAGGATCCCTTGATCCCTCTGACAAATCCTAGGTCCTTCTGCAGGAACAGGGAGCCCTGGTTGCGGCAGCTGCCATCATGGCAGTCAGCCGCGGCAGTCGTGCCCAGCAATAGCAACAGCCTGGGAAGCCGGCCAGTCACCACAACTTGGACCGCTTGGTGGCTGTGGGTCATGTTCATCATCCACAGTTCGAGGCAAAGTCCGAAGTAAACCGCAAACGACGCCTGAAGACCCTTTCCCCCAGGGCTAGGGACTGCATCAACCCAACGGCCAAATAAGGACCTAGAAGCAGAACAAACAGCTCTCTTCCCTCAAAGCTAGACCCTTTTTGAATGAAGCCACATAAATCCCCCTTAAACGAACGTGTCCCCTCCGTTGAGTCGCCCTCCTGTGTTTCACACCTTTAGGGGGCCTCACGTCCGCTTGGCCCGGCTTCTTGACTCCGACAGGAAGCAACCCCCACCTTTCAGAGGGTATCTCATGGTTCGCCCTAGCTCATAAAATTGGCCTTCATGGGTTGGGACTTTGCGGATCCAATGCTCACGGCTTGCCGCGCATTGGGAAGTGCGCCTAATATGAGGAGCAAACATGAGCGCGTCCTACCCCCCGAGCTCGTGATCGTTTTCCTAGACATGTGTACTTCTGCAAGGCAGTCTTCAAGCAAAGCAACCCTGGTCCCTTGATTGCTTCGGGACCTGCTAGGCCAAGAACAAAATGTAAGAAAACCGACAAGAACTTGGAGAAAAAAAATGATGAAAAGTGACAAATTGAAAACAAAAACCAAAAGCAACCAACAATGATGCAACGTGTTTCCCAAATGAGCAAATCAAAAAGGAAAGGGCAGAGAGAGGTCTTCGGCCCTTGGGTTGAAAAGATGGTGGAAACCTCCAAGGCCAGCCTCGTCCACTAAACTTCTCTAGTCTAATTGAAGCCCTCAAAAGGTTGACAGCTGTTTGCTACTGAGAGAAGCCACATCCTTTTAGGGATGAGTGAAAAGCGAAAACGAAGATCAGAACGATCTCGACAATCATTCCAACTGTTTATTTGCCACGGTTGAAATTTCGACGGAGCCCAAACATCCACCGGCTATTTAATTGACCTACAGGTATATGTTTTGAAAAAAGGCAAAGAGTTTTTTGTGTGTTTTTTTTTTTTTTACACTATGCTGAACAATGGATAGAAGAAAGAAATCCGGGGTCAAGAACAATGCCCCCATTGTTGGATTTTTGTTTTAAAATATATGTTTTTAAAGCTTTAGTAAATTGTATATATTCACGAAAAGACCTAGTATAGTTTGTTCGTGAGTTGTCATCCAAAAAGTTGATTCCGGGTATTATGCTTGGGCCAACCTGTTTTTTGAACATGTGCAAAGCAGGATTGTTGAAGCAACCTCTTTTGGTTTCCGTTTCCCATCTTAAACGTAGTTTGCCCAACTCGTCGGTCGAAACTGCTTTACCTCGCTGTGTTCTTCAGTCACAACTGATCGGCGCGTCCAGACCTTAAATCGAAGGCTGCATAAACCAATGTGGGCACGTGTATGTCTCAAACGAGATCAGAAACCATGAAAGAACATGGGGGGTTCTTCTAGTTGTCCTCTAGAACAACCCCCAAAAATCGGATGCCTTCAAAAACGAAGCCTTATATATATATATATATAGTATTGTCACAGAAAGGCTGTGGATGTTGCTGAACGTTTGAACCCATGTCATGAACACCTGGTAAGATACCCTGGGTATGACCTCTAAACTAAGGGTTCATGAACCATTGGTGTTGGCCAAAATACGGAACCCTGCCACCAAATGGCACCAAATGGATGCCTATTGGCTTCATACAAGCATTTGACCAGGCGGGTCAATGCAAGGCACGTTGCCTTAGAAAGGGCAGTCCGGGCGTTTCAAACACAAAAGGGCAGTTGAAACCCAGTCAAGGGTGACAGAACCACTTTTTGAGGGAGTTCCCTGTTCGAGTGCTCCACCTGATTGTTTGTCGAGGGGGGGGGGATCAAAAGACCCAACAAGGAAACCGAGCCCTTGAATCCAAGAATGCGCTTCCAATTGCAAACAAAGCGACGCAACGACGAAGCGGAGTATCTAACCAAGGCACACCCAAGGCCCCATAATTCACTCCCACTCGAATTCGCAGGGAGTCGTGGATTGCAACAGAACGTGACGGCTGCGGTTTGGATGGCGAACCGATCTGACGAGAACGGCGATTGGCCTGTCCGAAACCAAGTGCACCCATTCTTTTCAACAATCCTGCTCCTTCCCCGCGTGTCTTTAGCAATTTCTGAGAAGCTGAAAAAGACTAGTACAGCTAGAAAGATGGGCAACATCTACTGAAACCGCATGAAGGATCACACAGCTGCTTCCAATAGGAATCAGTGAGTTCGCTTTTATACTGGAGTGCAGCAATGCCGACTAGTGAAGCCCAACAAAGCTTTTAACAAGTCCGGGTACCCTTCAGCCCTTACGTTTCATTCTCAACCCGAACGGTAGGAAAGCCTTCAAAGTTCCCTTTTTTAAGGCTACGTGTGGAGAATCCACGAGCTCCACTGGGTCAACATTCGGTTGAAGAGTACCTCGGCATCTGAGGAGGGTGGGAAGGGCCTCTGATTTTGACAAGCTGCTTGGTTACTTCACTTTTTAGGGCCGAGCCTCAACAGTCCGAAGGGAGGCAAACTCTCGGAGGCAAACGCCCCGAAAAAGCTGCAGACAGCCATTTAGACGTGGCGTTGAATTGGTTGGGCCTTGATGCACATCCATGCAGCAAGGAATCTTAGAACCAACCATCATTGGTCTTCAAGTGCAATTCAAAAATCCGACTCCCGACCTTTCATAAGAACTTGCCAATCGAGCATGTTCAGGGATACTGTTCGCTCTGTGAAAACCAAATAAGCCACCTGCTAAAGAATGAACATGATATGTTCGATACCTGGGCTCCCCAATGCAGGCGATGCCTTTTTGCAGTTTGGCACTGGGAAAGTCTTGGACGCTCGGTGCTGTCGGAGAAGCCCCGATTCTGAAACAAGTCGATAACCGACTGGGCAGTCTCACACCAGTGGCTGGCTGTAACCCCCTCCAAAATGTTGACATAAATCCCCATCGTACCATCCTCTTTCAGAATCACAATCTGTCACAATCTGGGACAGCCCTTCGTATTCAAAACCAGTCTCATGTTTGAATGACGACCAAGACCGATGTCCATGTGCCCAGTAGCCACATGTACAACAGGCATTGGCCAAAGCCAAAAACACGATGGGAAACTCTGAATTGGACATGCAACGTGAGCCGCAGCGACATCCTGCCTCATGATGAGAGCTCTAGGCATCTTTGAGCCCAAGCTGTGTGAAATGGAGCCAAAGTGGCCGTCAGCACGGCATGTCCTAAACCCTCGGTTGAGTCCACTTTCAATTGGAACCAATGCATTTTTGGGGGATGGCACCCGCCATTAGGGTTGGTTTATTCATCTGAGACTGTTTGTAAGAATTTCGTTGGTCAACACAATGACTTTCCTTGCCACACCTACCTGCCTCACCCCACCCCCAATGTCACAAAAGATGGAAAGAGCCGTTCTGGGTTCGCCAATATGCTTGATTGGAAATGGAGTTTTCGAAGTTGCACTTCTCCTTTCGAGGGCAAGAACTGTGTGGCCATACCCTTTAAACTGGATTAAACCCACCTTTACAATGGAATAAAGTGAGTCCCCGGCCCCCACTAAACGAAACCTAGAAGTTCGTCAAACTCAAACCTGAACCATCACAACTCGATCAGTGGAAAGAACCATGTTTGTTTGTTGACCAAGCCTGTTTTTCTGAATCCTGGTGCATAAGCAAGCAAATGGTCTGCGCAACTCTGTTACATATGGCCAACCGAAAAACAGAAACAAACAATCATGCCAAGAAGCCAACCTACCCAGTTTTTTTGCAAGCGCAACCGTGCCGCGTTGGACAACACCCTCACTGAGCATGTACCACCAAAGCATTTTTTTGAGGGGCAGCGGACAGCAAACTCACAAAACTAAGACCACCAAGCCCAACACAGCACTCATTAGTCACAGACGCTACCTCCACATCCCGATAGTTATGGCTGTTTGTTTGTGTGTTTGTTTTGTTGTTTTTCCAAAGTCCCTTGTTCGCTTGCTTGTTTTTTTGTAACGTCTGATTTGTTTTGGCCGCAATGGCCGCCAGCGAGATCGCAGATGGCCGCAAAGAGCCAAAGACGTTTTGACTACGATTGAAGCTTCATTGCACATCCTCCAGCTGGAGGCAAACCCAAATGGCAATTCTAGCATGCCCAGCACTGGCCTCCGCTTGACCCTTGCGGGTTTTTGCCTCCTGCCGCGAAAAACAAACAAATTTGAGTTGCCCTAAGAGATTTGGCCGAAATAGAAGTTTGTCATTTGCCACGTGCATCAAGCTGGACCTTGCAGCAGCATCGCGCACCCTCACACACAACAGCTTCTGCAACAGCAGGATCTCCACCATGGCAGACATAGCCCCACCCCAAGCCAAAGAGTTCCACGGACGGAGGATCTGCCAGTTTTGAAAGGAATCTTGTGAAGCAATGCCAACAACTCAGTACAATTTCCTCCTCTTTCGTGCACGACTGCTAAGATAAGGTGAACTCACGACATTACAAGACGGAAGCAACCCTGCCTCTTGAACCGAAGGACCCACCTCTCCGCGCCAGCAAGAGCAGTGCAGCAACACCGCAGCAAGGCAAAGCAAGCAGACCCCCCCCAATGACCCACCTCCCCCGCCAATGCTGAGAGTGGCGTTGCATTCCGACAAAATCGCAAACACGAAATGTCAACACCTCTGCCAAAAATAAGAAGCACCCACCCGAGAATAGCAAGCAAAGCGAAAGCTCTGTGTGCTACGCCCTCAGCACATTGAATGGCGTCCTACTGGCCTCTCTCCCCATGCGGCCATTTACGACCACGCAGGTCCGCTGTTTCAGCACAAAAAAACTGATGAAATAAAAGCTGAGGAAAGAAACCAAACAGAAAAGCAAAACAACGCAACAACACAGAACCAACAACAAACACGGAGAGGGGAAGTTCCTCAGCACCACCACCAAGCAGACGAGGACCGCGCCCACAGGATCACCGTCACGCCAATCCGGGGCAGCGCACTGGCGCTGGCTGCTTTCGCCTCAAAACAAACTGCGCGAGCGCAGTTTGTCATAAGCGCAAGCTGGTCCAACTTGCTGTTTAAATCACGCAGGGCCTCTTCAAGCCGCGCGTTCTTTTCAGCTGCTTCACGGAATTTCTGCTCAGCCTGGCGACGGTCACACCAGTCCCGTGCACCCATGGTAGTGCTTTTGGTCCAGAAATCTAATTCTTTCTTCATGGAGTCATTGTCCAGCCGCAGCCGATCTACTTCAGCAAGCAACTCGTCATGGTTTTGGAGAGTTCTTCCTTGGGATGTTGCAGCGCCGGCTGTTCTCGTACCTGGCCCAGTGCAGTTTGCAAAGATGTTTTGGGCAGGCTCAAGGACACAGTTGAAGAGATAATAAAACACATACTACAATTATTGACTGAACTGTTATTCCAAGCTGCCGTCTCTTAGTTGTAGTTTTGACATTCACGGGAGGCCTCCACCTTCTTGGTGTTCTTCATCTCCCCCAGCTCGCTCTTTATCACAACCATGGCACGCCCCCTTTGGCAACGGCGACGTGAAGTCAGGCGGCTGGAGCTTGACAAAGAAAGTAGCGAGAGTCCACCCCCTGCCCAGATCTTTTCAATGCTGGCCCATAAGAGTTTGTCAATGGTCGAAAGGTTCAACTACCGGCAAGTCAAGCTTTAGATCCCCAAAAAACAAAAAAGTCCAACTTGCACAAAGTATTCAAGCACCACAAGAAAAAACTACCCGTTCGGGCCTCGAAGAACCGTTCCATTCGGGCACTGGGCTCGGGCCCGAAAAAGTCATTCCATTCGGGCCCCGAAAAGATGGCTGGTGGACACAAATGTGCAGATTGAAACGGTGGCCTCCAAAGAGCCCCTGGAGAAACATCCTCGGGCCCCGATTCGGGCCCCGAAAAGCTGTTCCATTCGGGTCCCGGATTCGGCCCCCGAAAAGTCGTATACCATTCGGGCCTCGAAAACATGGCTGGTGGGACACAAATGTGCAGATTGAAACGGTGGCCTCCAAAGAGCCCCCAGGGAAACATGCGCAGCCAAGAGCCCCGGCCTCGAAAACGCTGTTCCATTTGGGCCCCGGATTCGGGCCCCGAAAAGTCGTATACCATTCGGGCCCCGAAAAGATGGCTGGTGGACACAAATGTGCAGATCAAACGAAAAAAAAAAATAAAATGTGCAGATTGAAACGGTGGCCTCCAAAGAGCCCCCAGAGAAACATGCACAGCCAAGAGCCCCGGGCCTCGAAAAGTTGTTCGATTCGGGCCCTGATTCGGGCCCCGAAACGCTGTTCCATTCGGGTCCCGGATTTGGGCCCCGAAAAGTCGTATACCATTCGGGCCCCGAATGGTGGACACAAATGTGCAGATTGAAACGGTGGCCTCCAAAGAGCCCCTGGAGAAACATCCACAGCCAAGAGCCCCGGGCCCCGAAAAGTTGCTCGATCCGAAAAGCTGTTCCATTCGGGTCCCGAAAAGGGCCCCGACTCAGGCCCCGAAAAGTCGTATACCATTCGGGCCCCGGATTCGGGCCCCGAAAAGATGTTCCATTTGGGCCCCGGGTTCAAGCTCTAAATTGTTTTCAAGCTGGAAAAACTATTCGTGTTGGCTCCGAAGACTTGTTCAAAATTTGGGCCGGGTTCAGGCCCCGAAGTTGCCACAGAGGGAGCAAGGGACAGTGGCGCAATGGCAGCGCGCCCGAACCAACCTGCGGACCCGCAGTTGGTAGGGAGGTCGCGGATTCAAATCCCGCTTGCCCCCATCTTTTGCGCAGAGTGACCCTCGGGAGGCTTCAACAATTCAATTGCCGAAAGGAGCTCTGGCGCCTCTGGCAGGCATGGCTGGCCTTGTGATGTGGAAGGTCTGAGAAACACATGAACACGCAGTGGCTGTTGAAACTCACGCGGGCTCCTTTTTCACACTCTCAGCTTTCCCCGCCAGAGGCGCTCACCAGGCGCTCACTGGGTTGGAGGCGGAAAGATCCGTCTTGGACCTGGGAATAAAAGTCTTTTAAGGAGAGGCGCTCACCGGGCTGGAGG